TGGCGAGAAGCCACATTTCCGATTCGGAAATAAATCGTGGAAATTTCATTGTCTGCTGCGAGACGGTTAATTTCTGGTATTGATCGAAATTGTGATTGTTAATAATGGATACTTCGGTAAGTGACATTCCGTTCACTCTTGGAAGTCCAAAATCGACAGTTGAGCGTTTTGAAAAAAGAATTGCTCAAAAGCAGCGATAACTTCTTTTGAAATTATTATTTGAACGATAATTATCGAATTTCTCTTAGGCATGGCACAGTTATTGTTACTGTCTTTTGACAAATCGAATGAATGTTTCATTAGAATTGATTTGATTCATTAGAATTGTTTATCGATTATGGGAACATATATGTGTCACTGTTGTTTAACCGCGATGTACATAAATAAATGATTCAATTTCGGTAGAGATTCATAAACGAACGTCAATAAAACGAAAAAAGTAACATGTTGCGCGAATAACAAGTATCCGCAGTTAATGTAACACTGTATCATCAATAGCAAGCGATGGCGACGTTGTTGACGCAGAGAAAATAGATAAATGTCCATGCATGCGTGTAAGCAAATACACATTTTCTTATCACCGATCAGGGGATTTTCTGCAGTTACAGGAAATGCGACCGTGTTAAACGTGGAACAGTAAATAATTCGATCGTATTTTACACGAGTTCGTGATCAAAAGACGTGCACTGCAATTCGCTTATATCGGACAATTCATTCGAAACAGAAAGTGAAACTGTGCGAAGAGATTCGGTATATTTTTAATAGCATTCGTTGTTAATAAACCGCGGATGTCGTGCAACGAAAACATGAGAACTGTTGCATTATTTTGAAGTTATCGATTTCATGTTAAAGCTACTGTATTTATAAAAAAAAGAACAAACTTATAAACAAACTATTTATATCTAATTTCCGTTGCCTGCCAACGCGGTCAATTATTAATGACGTCAATATTGACCCGCGGTCTAATTATTAATGTTACGTTCATTAATAAATTGTAACGTTTCCAACGTTATCGTAGCCCATACGTCCCGTGATTTACGAACAGAATTGAAACATTAATTAACCGCGATACTTGAACACCGAAAACCCTTCGAACTTTCGCGGGACGATCAGCGAAATTTATTTCGTCATTCTCAACAGGCACAATAATTCACATTGTAAATTGCGCCTGCGTTTCTTCGGCGCAAACGTAAATTTATATGTATATCCGTGTGTCATTACTATGCAAGCCCGGGTACATGAAATATATCAAGTATACAATTAATGGGGCCATTTTAATGCCGCTAAAAGCGCCAATTTGTATCCAGAATTAGAATGCATTTACAAAGGAAACTGCGATGCAACGTTATTTATCCCCGCAACTGCGTTACACAATGTGTCTTGGAATCGTGTTAGGGTATCCCCTTGCTTCTACGATTTCGATAATCATTTTACAGACGTGAGATTTACATCTTTTTTTTTTTTAATTGCGTTTAATCGCACGTCGATTCTATGACACATAAACTGGGAAGGCGAATCGACACGTCGCGTTATCAACACCTCCGAACAATTACAGTTATCTGAACACGTTTCCAACAAAGAACAATACCATCGGGCGTGAATTATTCAGCGGCGAAAATCATTAACAACGTAATAATATTATCACGCGTTTAGCACATTCGTCGTTTTCGTTGCTGCACGATAAACATTAATTAATAACGAAGTTATGTCATAGCGTGTACTTTGCACATTTTCTCAATATTTATGTCGGCGACGAGCCAAGTAAACAATATTTATGCAGACCTTAGAAAATTCAACATGTTAACGAACGTACAGGCGAAGATAAATCAATGAACGCGTATACGTGCAACCGAAATAGCATAAATCATTGTTAAACCGCAGCTGGGCGCGTGTACATTTGTCGCTTCGATTTTATAATTCAATTCCTCCGCGGACGATGTGATCGCGTTTATTCGGCAGCCCGGATGATATGACAAGAAATTATGTTCTTTCCGCGTGTACAATTAAATTGCATGTCGGTGAATGCGCGCGATAAAACAATAGCTCATTCGGCAAAGAGTCTAACCCAAGATTGAGATACCGCCGCCAGGAAACATGAATAAGTTCGCATAATTTGTATTATTATCGTATGGAACGTATACATAAATAAACGAGATTTATCATTCGTAATTGCGAAACGCTCGACTCATTATGCAAACATTATTATCGCGCGGCTTTGATAAATTGTCGGCGATGAGTGGGAATTAGAATAGAAAACGGGATTACGAATCTGGACGGTCTCCCGATGGAAACGTGGGAGCGATTTTATGACACGAGCCGCGATTCTGTCGTCTCACACGAGAAACATTTATTTTCGCGGTGCGAGTCGAAGTAACGCGGCCCTTATCAGCTAACCGAGTTCCGACAAATCATGCTCTTATCGAACCTACACACCAGAAACGTACGCGTGATTCGGCCCTGCGGCTGCATACTGTGTCGCAGAAATTAATAGGGAGCTAGTTAACCGGGTAGAGTATACGAACAATTTCTTAGACGCGAAACTTGCATTTATATTCTCTGAAATATTAATTTTGCTCCGAATGAAATATTAATCTTCATCAAATTCAATTCACTAAATATGTGATTACTGTGACAATTTTACACTTGAACACAGCGAGGGTACTGTTTCTTCGATGGAAGAATGTCATAACTAATTTTAGAATATCAAAATGATTCTAAGAAACGGACAGCGCCAAAAACAAAAAACGAATTCTTACGTCACCGCGGGTGCTCAATGTGGTGTATGTATTTGTTTGCAAAACGTAGCGCTGCACTCTTCGAAGTGCTGAAGCCTTCTTATGAAATAAGAATCTCTGCCACCGCACACACTTGATGAAGCCTTTGGCGACGCCGAACGCGGAGCGATTGTACCGTTTATTTCGTGATACAGTAAATTCTCCCTAATTGTCACAGTAAATTCTCCCTAAAAATGGGCAATTTGGAAAGAGGAGATACGATCATTATTTTATAATGATTAGCTATTATAGTTACGATCATTGTATAGTTTTATAGTTGCCGATTGTCAACAACTATAAAAACGAGACGCAAGGCTCGAATAATCGTACCTCCTCTTGTACCTAATGAATTCCGAATTAAATATACAACTATATTTAAATTTACACTTAATCTGAATTACATTTGATTTAAACGAATTTTATCCAACATCATAGAGCACCCAATATGTCTGATTTTCTAATTGTAGTTCTAACACTCTTGGAATTCATTCGCAAGGCCGTTATTTCTAGATAATAGTAAGGTAAATCCTTGAACGTTTCTGGTTTATTTATATACGTCGTTATCGCGCTAAAAATTCGAGCAACGTATTATACTTCACACTTCATATCGGGAAGATAAATGTTTGATGAATTAGATTTCGGTAAACCGTACACAATAATAGTGAGGGATAAGAGCTTTATTTTTCTTCTGATTTCAATTAAAAACACGTCTAACAATCGCAATTCCTGTTTCACGTTTCCAGCGAGGTCGTAGTGGATTCATTGCACGTTGCAGTTTAACAATAAATATATCTATTAATNTTGCATGTCGGTGAATGCGCGCGATAAAACAATAGCTCATTCGGCAAAGAGTCTAACCCAAGATTGAGATACCGCCGCCAGGAAACATGAATAAGTTCGCATAATTTGTATTATTATCGTATGGAACGTATACATAAATAAACGAGATTTATCATTCGTAATTGCGAAACGCTCGACTCATTATGCAAACATTATTATCGCGCGGCTTTGATAAATTGTCGGCGATGAGTGGGAATTAGAATAGAAAACGGGATTACGAATCTGGACGGTCTCCCGATGGAAACGTGGGAGCGATTTTATGACACGAGCCGCGATTCTGTCGTCTCACACGAGAAACATTTATTTTCGCGGTGCGAGTCGAAGTAACGCGGCCCTTATCAGCTAACCGAGTTCCGACAAATCATGCTCTTATCGAACCTACACACCAGAAACGTACGCGTGATTCGGCCCTGCGGCTGCATACTGTGTCGCAGAAATTAATAGGGAGCTAGTTAACCGGGTAGAGTATACGAACAATTTCTTAGACGCGAAACTTGCATTTATATTCTCTGAAATATTAATTTTGCTCCGAATGAAATATTAATCTTCATCAAATTCAATTCACTAAATATGTGATTACTGTGACAATTTTACACTTGAACACAGCGAGGGTACTGTTTCTTCGATGGAAGAATGTCATAACTAATTTTAGAATATCAAAATGATTCTAAGAAACGGACAGCGCCAAAAACAAAAAACGAATTCTTACGTCACCGCGGGTGCTCAATGTGGTGTATGTATTTGTTTGCAAAACGTAGCGCTGCACTCTTCGAAGTGCTGAAGCCTTCTTATGAAATAAGAATCTCTGCCACCGCACACACTTGATGAAGCCTTTGGCGACGCCGAACGCGGAGCGATTGTACCGTTTATTTCGTGATACAGTAAATTCTCCCTAATTGTCACAGTAAATTCTCCCTAAAAATGGGCAATTTGGAAAGAGGAGATACGATCATTATTTTATAATGATTAGCTATTATAGTTACGATCATTGTATAGTTTTATAGTTGCCGATTGTCAACAACTATAAAAACGAGACGCAAGGCTCGAATAATCGTACCTCCTCTTGTACCTAATGAATTCCGAATTAAATATACAACTATATTTAAATTTACACTTAATCTGAATTACATTTGATTTAAACGAATTTTATCCAACATCATAGAGCACCCAATATGTCTGATTTTCTAATTGTAGTTCTAACACTCTTGGAATTCATTCGCAAGGCCGTTATTTCTAGATAATAGTAAGGTAAATCCTTGAACGTTTCTGGTTTATTTATATACGTCGTTATCGCGCTAAAAATTCGAGCAACGTATTATACTTCACACTTCATATCGGGAAGATAAATGTTTGATGAATTAGATTTCGGTAAACCGTACACAATAATAGTGAGGGATAAGAGCTTTATTTTTCTTCTGATTTCAATTAAAAACACGTCTAACAATCGCAATTCCTGTTTCACGTTTCCAGCGAGGTCGTAGTGGATTCATTGCACGTTGCAGTTTAACAATAAATATATCTATTAATCCAAGATTGCTTTTGACCGCGAACAGATAGTACTCGAAAATAAATCTACAATCTCCGAGAGAAATCATTCGATTGATAATATCTATTTTCTTTGACCAGAGAGCGTTCGCGTATCTATTGTTATAACTCCGTTGTCGCACGAGTATACATAGACTTTCATGGCGCATTCACAACTCGGGAATTCCCCCTTGATCGACACGAGTGTTTTCTATGGTGCTGCGAGATCGGATGAATAAAAGAAAAAAAAAAGAAAAAGGAAAAGAACATATCGAAGTCCTATATGCCGGAAAAAGGGAAAACAACGATACCTGCATTCTTTTATTCATCGGTCCCGCTTTATCCGCGGCACACAATGCGACCTTGCATATATTAAAAAATGTGCAGTGAAAAGCAGCCCCGTTGCATGTAATCCGGAGAGAAAGCATCGCGGCCCGTGAACAGAACTATCGGTATCCGTAATTTTCGTTAGCAGAAATTCCACCGATATCCCGGTGGTTACTGTAAACTTCGAATCGATACGTTCACAATCTTGCCGTATCATTGATAATTTTTACCAGCGAAACTCAATGAATTGCGTGGCGCGCATGCAAATGCCGCCGCACGATCCGCGTTATTGGGCACGATAATAGAATTTGTGAACGATTTCATGTATTGTGTGATAAGCGCGCGACTTCCAGAATTGCAATGAAGCGATAAGATCGCGTTTCTGCCACGCCGCGTGTATTTTTCGATTCGCAATACACCGTATAAATTCTGTTACGATATTATGTATCGGCTGACTTTACAATATTCTGCGCGTGTTTTTTTTTTATTTTTGGAAACGTCGATACCGAAAGCTACGCCGAATAGATAATAACATGCTTTCTTCGCTGATCAGTAGACAATTATGGCAAAAATTGTTCGTTCAAACTACACGGACTGTCAATTGGTAAATCAATTCGCTTACGGCAAAAATTGATAACGGAAACACAGAATAACCATTGAAAGATAATTCGTAGCGTGCAATATTAACTGTGTTCAATGAACTAAAACGAATAAAATGACACAAATAGTTAACACGAATACGTACACTTCGGATCAGAGGATACTGGACATTCATCTTCTATGAACTCAGCTAATCTCCGTCCTTGATGCACAAATAATAAAAACATACAGCTGCACGCACGTTAATGTCTACATCATCAATCTTCCGTGAATGCCTTCATTGGTTGTAAGTAATCTATTAACCATAATGAATGTGTTTCTCGGAATGCAAATAGGAATTATATTCACCGTATGTACAATGTATGTACAATATATAATAATGATATTAAAATAATACAAAAAGTATTCCCTTCCATTTCCTAACCTTCCTAACCATTTCATTAAAAACTATCTCAGAGATCTCATTTAAACAATAAACCTCGGCTAATAAACCTTACAGTGATTTAAACACAGAATAACGGCTAACAACCTGTGACGATGACGCGAATGAAACCATCGACAATATCTAATCTAATCGGAAAAATCGCAGAGGCCGTTGAGAAAAACCCCCTCGTTTCGCAATTGCGCGGACAATAGTAATCGTAAGACGGTCGGAGATTCCACGGAGAAGACAGATATCATCGGGACACGAAGCGTTCGTTATCTCTGTTTTTGACGCGTCTTCGCGGACGCCCAGAAAGGCTGGATTCATCGAATAATTAGGGAGCAAAGTGTCGCGGTGTGAGAAGCGTACAGCGCGCGCGGCCACCAGACGATGCAACATTATCTCGCTGCGCTGCATATCGCTCGAGTATCAGACACGTTGCGTGTACGTGCGAATCTCGCGGTATCTGGATGCATTGTTATCAGTGGGCGCGGTGCGTCCGATCTGAACGTGGTTGAGGTTGAAGTCGATCGCAGCCGAGAACGGCAGGGCCACCGTCGAAAAGGGGCAGGCCGAGGGACAGCGAACGCGGCGTGAAAGAACAAAAGCGGATCGAGAGATTCGAGCGGGAAGGAGATGAAGATAATGCGTGACGATCGGTAGGGGACCGGAAACGAACAGAAGACAATAGACTGTCGAATATCAGTGACGAAGACGCCAAGCGACGTTTCACGGCATCCACGAAAGTGCGTGTGTAAAGTAATCGAGACCGCGAGTGAGGAATCATCGGCTCGTGCTGCTACGATTTTCGGACATTCTGTTGTAAATGATCTTGCCGATCCACGGCGAAGATAGTGATCGAACGGTTTCTGTGAGACGATCCCGGTGTTACATACTTAGCGTAAGTATATCCTCTATTTCTCTGGCTTTTGATTGGCGCGATCCTGCGCGACTGGGGTTCCTGAAACATTTTAGAATTACTAGGGAATCCTGTTACAATAGAATGTAATGAAATTTAAAGATTTGATTTGCTTGGTAATTTAGAAGAAATTATTTCGAAATGACAAATAAGTGAATCTTTAACGTGAAACATGCAAAATACGAATATTAGAGAATTACTTTATAATTACTATTTTGAAACGCATTCTTGATATATAGAATGAATAGAATATTAAATAATATATATAGATAATATATAATATAATAGAATATTAAACTGAAAATGTTCGAATTTCCATTCAGAAAATTGAATCATTTACTATTTTCAATTGTATTCACCCTTTATAACTCGACAATTTAGATAATAGACAGTACACCAATGTAAATTGTAAAATACTCACAATATATATGATTTCTGGAAACGAATACACTTTATAGTTGCGTTTCACAATTTATTAGTATTTATCGTCACTTGAAATCGAAAATGCTACACCAAAGATATCGAGAAAGACCGATTTCATCATGCTTATCGCATTCAGCGAACATTTAATGTCTATTCATTATTTTCGCACACTCACGCGCCTTTCTCTTCACCGTAATAGAATTTGACATTTAACAGTTTGTGAACAGAGAACAAAATAACCGTGCAACACCAATTATACCGCACCTCGGCCCCTCCAAATGCATTTGTTTCGGTAGAATTTCTTTGCGTCAACATTTCCTATCAGAGCACAGATATGAAACTGTCGGACACGTGCGCAAATAGCAAAACCAAACCTGAATATTAACCAACCGGCGAACGCGGAATGTTGCAAGGGGATTTTAATGCTTTTTTTTTTATCACAGAATTTCTGGTTCGTCAGCTACCCCGAAAAACGAATGTGACAACAGAAAATGGCTTTCGACATATTTGTAACTTCAGATTATTGCTGTTTTATTGCATGCACATTTACATACTTCGCAATTTCTATCGATGATTTTTTTATTTAACAATTCGCCAAAATCCATGTTGCACAGCTAAAGATCTTCGAATAAATTTTTCAGTAGCAATAACAATTTTATTCGTAAATTAACGAGCTACTCAACAATGTAATCTAATCATTTCTATTCGAATAATTAAGAGAAGATACTTATGTTCGCTTTTGATATAGCACAGTCATTAAGAAACTAGCATATATGTAATTACGTTCCATTTAAAGAATCACTAACCTTCTTCTGCTTACAAGCATTAGTATAATTATCGAATGATGAACAGACTTGGAAGTGAAACTTTTTTAATTGTTGAAAGTTCTGAATTCATTTATCATAGGACAACGAATACCGTGCGAGCAATTTTACGAAGCATGGCATTCCCGGTATAAAGTACCAGAATTTATAAATAGAAATGCTTTCAATCGAAATAGAATTTTTCAACGTTATACTTCATCTTCGTACTGCAATAGAATCGTGGAAACGTCTGAAAAAAAGGATGGTATTATATTATACATGCAACAGAGTATGAAGTTAATAACGGCAATTACAGGTCTACACACGGAAACGCGCATCGTAATAGACGCTTCAGCCAGAGACAGGAAAAAAGCCCGTTGACTATACTGAACGGTCGACTGGACGGTTTATTTTTCAATTTTCTTCTTGTTTAAAACTACGCGAGAATCCGATAAATTCGGGACCACTTGTGCGGCGGGAATGCCGTTTAAACGGCAAGACAAAAAAGAGTTATGACAAACGTATGACCCAGTTGAAACAATTTATCAGTACTACAAAGCGTGTGCCGCGTTCTAAAAAAGGATAAACAACAGATAACGGGAGATAAGCGACGCGGGCCAATTTATCACTACCGTCAACAATTTTGCACAGTGCAACGTGCAAATGGAACTTTGCGCAGACAGCCGAAATAATATCTGACCGCGGAACATCGGTAAAATTCGGATTCTTTATGCTGACCATTATATTACAGAACTTTTGATATAGTACTCCATATGGTGTAGATATATAAACCGTTTCCTCTTGCTTCTAGATTGCAAAGTGTAAAAACGCACCTTAACCATGTGCGAGGTACGATAAACTTGTAAAAATTTAGATAAGAGATAGTTAACACTCGAACGGCGGACCTTTTCGACAAAACTGTAACTTGGGTATGCTTAGGATTATTTATGACTTTATTCGTCGGTACTGTGTTTAATATATTTTGTTAGGCGCTCTTTCAAGACACGCTTTTGTAGACATTAATGAAACATGTGAAATCCCAAAGTCACATCAAGATTGTTTTATTAAATCGGTGGATTCGTCTTTACCTTGGCTGTTACATGTCTGTAATGGAAACATACAAACTTCTATCGATTTTTTTCCAAAACTTTGTTCCTTCAGAATCATCTTTTTCCTAAACATTTTCCTGTTAATCTACATATAAAAAATTGTTCAAGGATCCTCATACTTCAGAAAGCTAGCTAATGTAACAATTAATCTATTTTAACCTGAAAATAAATATTTAATAGTCTCATTAAGTATTAAAAATCCTTGATTTTAGTCGAATAATGTTATTAATATACGTGTTCATATTCTACTTATTAATTTTTTTTAAATATTCAAGTTGCACTTACCAAGTTTGAATGACTGCGAAACTTGAAAATTTTTTCAAAACAGTTTTTCCTCTGATTTCATATCAATATTTCCTCGGGATGATGTACAAACTCACAATCACGGCACGATTGAATACGTCTAAAGAAACCTGAACTGAAAAATAAACTATGTATTATCACTCGTTTCAAACAAACCTATTCGATTGTTTTAATACATATCAGTTAACTTCGCGATATATCAGACACCATAAACCAACCAGTTCTAAACAGATTCGACAAGTTCTATCAGGTGCTTTGTTTTTGGTGCAAATAGCATGAATTAAAAGTGCGCAAAAATGTGTTAATCTGCATTACCGACTGTACTGCGGGCAACATTAATAACTCTTAAATACTTCGTTTCTAATCATTGATACATTCTATTCAGTACTAATTAATCATTTTCATAGTTTATTTGTACTCAATGTCTTATCGAAGTTCTAAAAGGATCACTTACAAAGTAATGAAATACTTCCTGTATTAATACTTTAATGTCTAATTTGAAACGATACAAGCAAATTAAAACGAAATCAGTCCAGAAGCTTTTCAATTTAGTCGCAACTGCATCAGCAAATCTACCTTCTACTGAACCGACAATCGTTAAGCTACGTTCATACAGTTCCTCGCGATCGTCGGCCAGCGATCGTCAATTTTTGTAACAAGTAACGACATCGAAAATTCTCGCAGTCTGTTGTTCAGTTCGTTTGAACGTGTATCGTGACGTTTTCATCACCGCCATTAATAAAAAATCTCAATGTAAGGACCAAACTTTCTTTACTAATAATTGCTAACCAAAATTGATTCCAAATCTACATCTTTCATTGATCTGTTTCCGTACTTCAATCGCGATCTAGATTCGCCAATGTTTAAGCAACAAAACGTTCGTTTCCACGTTCATTAGATACCGGTAACGAGGTTCGGTAACAAATGTAGACACACCTTGAAAAAGCTCTTTTGCGCTTACCATTGTCATCATCGTTATCTTTCAATATTCGTTAAAATTCGAAGAATCGGGATAAAGGAGTGCAGCAGCATGCGCTATAGATTCAGCTGCCATGATCGCCTCGCAGAAACTGGATGATATTTTGCGTTTCCGCCTCGTATCGTAGATACAGTAGCGCCAGTCTACAGGTAGCAATTTGTGGACACCGCTTTAGCGTCTTTCCTTCGTCCATCAGTGACATTCGAGCCACGTGACCAAAGGAACAAGAACGCACGCGCAGCTCCGCGAGCGGGCGATTTACTGGCAATCTTACACGTGCGTTCAAATGACTCTAGTCGCGTTCCAGTGATTTCCAGTATCTGGTAAGGATTTACAGTGTTGTCGTTCGCGACGAGTGTCATAGGAAGAAATCTGTAAAGAAACGAGTCAGCGACGGACAGAAAGCGGTGAGTAATCGTCGCCGATACAAGCGAGTCAATCGAAGCGCTAAAATCGAGGCTACGCGAGTCGCGAACGACCCACGTGCGGTGAGAATATCTGTTTTACATACATACGTGACACTATTCGAGAAGCACGTCGTCTTACAACAAACCACGTCGCGCGAACATAGCGGAATCGGAAAGCATCGTACGGATTCGATATACTTATTAAACAGTTCTACGGTTGATAAAAAAAAAATAACAGTGTACGTGTGTGTGCCAGTTGTTAGGCGAATTAGCTTTTTCCTATCGTTAGTGGTGTGTACGATTCTTTCTCCCTCTTTTTCTTGAGGATATTTTTTCGTTCGCACGGCTGATGTTGATTGCCTCGAAACAACGTGGACCTCTGATTGCTATTTCCTCATTTCCGGTAAATAGTTTTATCGTTTTATCCTCGTCACCGTTTTAAATAGGACTACAGTGAGTATCGCCTAGACTGGCCTCTAGAGCCTGGGCAACACCAGCGAGCCGTGTGTGCAGCCATGAAATGTTGCTATTGCTTTTGGCGAACGATTATTTTCTTAATTATGCGCGATGAGACAGTCGTTATTATTAGATGTATCTTTAGCTATCAGTCTCTTTGTTCAACAGTATTTGTGTACTGTATTGTATTCCAAGGTCGAGCTTGCTCTGCTGTGTGTATGTAATCTTCTGTTCTACGCCACGTACCGAAATATCTTGCCCTTGTACAAAAACCGTGTGGAAGTTCAAAATATTTTCTAACAGCAAATTCAAATTAGAAACGTATGATTTAATATCAGAATTCCGGAATCATGCCTTCATCGCATTACGTGTGCATTTTGTTCGAGAACATGCGCGTTCAGACATCTGTTTCAACGGGAAATATAGAATGTGTAATCTTGAATTTCCTGCACACGTTATTACATTCCATAACATATGATTTTCATTTACGATTGTAAATGTATCACGATTGTAAATACACTTGTTTAAAATTTTCTTCACTGAAATACGAAATGTTATCGTAAACCGTTTGTTTATCGCATTTTACCAATTACATATGTTTGTTAATGATTTTATTTCGTTGATTGTTTTAAATGCTTTTTTTTTAATCATTCAACTATCTAAATATCTTCCACTAAAGTTAATGTAAATCAAAGTTAATAATTTTCACAAATAATTTGTATAATTTCATTTGTCTTATTTACAGATTAGTAACTGTACAAAATGGTGTCGACAACAATAATGGAAAATGGAAAATCCAGCCCAACTAGGAAGCCATGTGCTGTGGATATTAATTCAGGCAAATACCAAATAGTTGGATGGGACATGGATACGACAGGCAAAAAAGTTATAGATGAAATATGCCAAATAGCTGGTTATACTCCTAGTTTCTCTTACTCTCAGTATGTGATGCCATATAAAAACCTGGATCCTCCAGCTACGAAAAGGCACAACATGAAAGTTGTGACCATTGGAAAGTTCCGTGTTCTCAGAAACACCAAAACTAATAAAGTAATTATCAAATTGTAGAATAGACTTTAAAGTTATTACTTATATATTTCATGATATCGAGCTAAATACATTGCTTTTATAGGTAGTGAAAGCTAAGAGTGAGATATCTGCGTTAACAGAATTTCTATCTTGGTTGGAGAACATTACTTCAGTATGTTCTAAAACAGATGGGGTGATATTAGTTTATCACGAACCACGTAAAGTTATTCCTGCTATGTTGCTTGAATCCTTAAAAAGGTATAATCTGCTAGAAAGATTTAAGAAAACAGTCAAAGGATTTGCAAATGGCTTTGATATTGCTGCAGCAAAGTTTACAAGCACGGTTCGTGCACATACTCTTAGAGCACTATCAAAAACCTTATTTAATCAAGTAAGATAATTTAGTTTTGTACACTTTACAATTATAATTTGTTAAATTTAATGTATTTTAAATTGATCTTAATTATTTAAATTGAATTATTAAATTGATCTTAATTGATTTTAATTTGATAAAAACAAATATTAACTCTGTATTTTTAACTGATGAATTAAATGCTCTTCATATAAAATCTAAGATTCATATAATATTAGGAGATAACTTTAACAATGTTTCTTTCTGTTTAAGGAAAAAGAATTAGATAATGCAAAAGATAGAGCTTGTTTAACTCTTCAAATAATAGAGCATTTAAGTTCACTGGAACATAAAAATGGTACTGAAACAAATGGTAACAGCAATGTTGACAATGCTGTAGATCAAACTGTAGAATTTGTTAAGGAATTTGTTCAACCAATAGAAGTTGAAGAACAAGAGTATGCAGGTATACATATAAAGTAGATTCTATGAAAAATATAAATAAACAGAAATAGTCACACGAGACTTGTATGCATAACGCGTTGGCCTTGTTTCAGAACAGAAAATAGTGTTTGAACGACAAAATACTTTAAAACCTATTTTTGGTGTTTTGTTCCGCATGAATCGTCGTGAACGACAGCATGCTAGTCCCTTGCGGCGACTACTCGCCGAAGCGGGAATCGACTATGTCCAGCTAGAGGTTAGTATAATATCTGAACAAATTAATTGCCAATTAAACTGATAAAAATAATAATCCAAAATTGATTTATTCTTCACTTTCCTTTTACAGACAGCTTGGAATAGCGGGAAGAAAGAAGGCTTGGAGAAGTTAATTAAGGAAAGACTTTTAACGGCCGATGAGAAGAAAATAGAAGATTTATTAATCATTCTTGTAAGTCATTTCGATCCCGACAAGAAACCCACAACAAGAATTTCGCAAGAGCAGCCGAGAATCAAGACGAAAAATTCGAAAAGTTATGATGACCGAGAGAACAATAACAAAGTTCATTCTGGCTATGAAAGTCCGGACACAACCACTCCCAATTCACCGCTTCAATTAAAAGTGGAATCCGGGAATGGTGCATTTATACCGGAAGAATAATAACTTGGCAATTCGGTAGTTGCTCTTATTACATTTTTATATAATTATAAGATGAAAATATTGTTTTTCAGTAACATAGTTTAAAAAAATCATTCCGTTTATTCGTATAATAACGTTATTCGAGCGTGATAAATATGTGAGTGTTACTTGTTGCAGTATTGTATTTAAGTTTTATTTTCGTTAGATCGAAGTATACACATATCGTATCCGGACCGGATATAAAACGCTTGACTTATTTAACGAAAACGAGTATGTACAAATAACACATGTTAATTATTTTTTAGTTTTGTGATAGGAATAATATATTCGTTTTGTTTAATGTTTAATTTTATGATTATTGTTTACTTTTTTGGTTTAATCAGATTAACGAGTGATGGTTAGAGACTGCTCGACGTATGAAACCAATTCAAATACTGACAAAACTTTTCTTTTCTTCTTAATTCTGAGATTAGCATACACAATGTTATTTTCTACTAGCCAAATAGTAGCGTGTTCGTGTACAAAGGACATTGTTATATTGAAGAATGTATATTTTTGTACTATGAGATTTATTGAAAACTAATAAGCGCGCACATGTTGCATTTACACGTTAAATTTTGTCGTGCTGAGTAACCGCAATAAATAAAAAGACTTGGAACTACAACCGTGGCTTTAATCTCTCGCATACGAATCGTTCCCGCCTAATTCCGTTTCACAAAATTACCCGATTTAATTCGTGAACAGTTAAATCAATCCCGTAACTCGAAACCTTTTCTTTTTTTATGGAAACCATAATAACTGCACGCAATAAAGGGAGAAAAAGAAACACAACAGAAGTCTTCAGCGTGACTTCTTTGTGTAATAAAACGCACCTGGAATGAGCGCAGCCATCGAGATAAAGCCAGAAATGAATTAAATATATGAATGCCTATGCAGTGGACCGTTGTATCCGCTTATATGGGCTTCCATAAAGCATGCCAAACGCCGCAGAGCGTAAACAGGATAGTGCAACGCATAGAAGATTAAAGAAGTATTTACTGTTTGAGAAGACTATTGACGTAGGATGTTTTTAAAATTAGGCGAGACTTAAACATTGAATCGAACTTTCTGAGAAGAAGTCGCGATTCACCGGGAACTCATGAACACCTAACAGAGCATGACATTTTTTCAAGACGTTGAATAAACAATACAGTAGATTGAAGTATTTGATGTTTTTCCCAGGAGCATATAGATATAGAAATATATGTATGTATAATAGCAATATTGAAATAAGATTCAATTAATATTATTGAATGTGTTGAAATAATGATGTATCTTTTATACACATGTTGTAAACATGTATATATCTTTTCAAACTGTAACAGGTATACCTGTTAGGAAACAATTTTCTTTTAATTGGCACATGTCACGTTACTATTACATACACATTATCTTCAAGTAACAAGACATTCCGTAATAAACCAACTTACTTAATATAAGTATACTGTGACTGCTGGGAACACTAATAAAGTTTTATTATAGAGACTCTACTATATCAAAGACGATACCGCGTGCTTAAATTTTTTATGATATTTATCAACATACTATGCGATTAGATAGATTGTAATCTTCATATAATCTGAAAATGATTTTCAAGGAATACATAAAAGCCATGCTTTCTCATTATAATTGAGGCTAATAAGTTTCAAATAACGAATAAATTACGTCGAAAAGGACAATACATACATATACTCTCGCTGCCACGTGGTTATTGTAATAAGGATCAAGAAGAAAATTGGTGAATGTGAAAGATCATTAATTCAAAATAATGACAACGATGTTTAATTACATCATTAGTATTATTAATATTCGAATATGAAATATCCCGATGTACTACTACCATTTTTGCCTAAATTTTCATTGTAGCGAAAAATATTGATAGGATTTATTTGCTTTACAATGATAAATATTGTTATTGCTTATTAAGCGTTAGAAAAGTTATTGTATAATAATATTTATTCCAATCTACTTTTATATTAAAATGTTTGGTGTTTTTACAGATATTTTTAATCTCTACTATTACACTTCATGTTCACTGCCTTTTTAAATAGAACTGTATATACATATAACGAAAAACAAATTAGTTAGCTATATTATTATTCTATTTTTTGGTATTATCAGAAAAATTATTTTGCCACGCATAAATTAAGCGATATATATAATCAAATTTGTTATGAAAATTGTACAAGACGAAGCGGTAGAATTCGGCCAATATTTTCGCACGAGTATTTGAATTTGATACTGTAAACTATAATGTAAACAATTTCTGGATCATTCTTCGAAGAAGAGTGATTCCGCGAAGCCATTCGCATGAACAATGCGCTACAATTCGAAGTGTTCACGGACAAGCTCGGCGGCGTAACAGAAGCAAAAATAAACGCGTTTCTGCAATTTTATTACACGCGTTATCCGTCACATTTCGCGGGTCTCGGATTTCTGCGTCCGTGGAATTCTTCTCGACTTCCGAATACCTATCACCCGTTCAGCATAAGTCCAGGATTGATGAACGCAAATGTTGTCGGACGACTACATACTGTACCGGAAGCTACACGCTACTGAAAATATTTACTGCATCGCGTAAATTCACTTATCGTTAGTGTCCACTGGTTTCCTACAAGCGAAGATAAATTCTCTTTGGAACACGAATTCTTTTCGGACTTTAACTACACGTTCCATCATATATACTCGCAACTACCGTGAAGAAGTAATTCAACATATTAGATTCGTATACTTATGCGCATTAATTTCGTACAAGATGGAGATCATAAATTAGTTGTTTAAGTCAGTCCTGAATACTTTCAGATAATTTATGAAGACTACAATAAAATGAGGAACCATTTATCCGCTTGATTTTTAGCACTTCGCGGATCATAAAAGTGCTTTCAAAAGAATTGGGTAAATTAATTTAGTCGTTCGCATACATTAGATTAGATTTTTAAAAATGTGATTTGAGAAAAGATAATCTTTTTAAGATTGTTATACATAGTATATATAGAATAATGTGATTATAATTATATATTATATATATATTTTTTTTTTTCTTTATGAATTAAATATATATGATTCAGTATATAACAATATGATTACAATTATATTGTACACATATAACTAAGAATTATATTTTCAATGTTTTATGAATTAAAAAATAATAAGGTATAGACTATCTTCTGTTATGAAAATTATCGAAACGAATTATAATCGATGTATGCTCGAAGAAAAAAAAATGTATTCAATCATTTTCCATGAAAGAACCTTTACAAGTTTCGACAAATTGAAAATGAAACAATTGAAAAATCGCTCATTTACGTCGCCGACGTTCACTCGTTACCAATGTTCGAGCATCGCGATGCGGTAGGCGCACGATAAATCTAAATCTATTTCGTCCTCGAGAAGATTATTAAGGACAAATTAGTTCCAGCCGCTGTAACCGTGAAGATGATCCGGCGGGGGGTTAATGACGATCCCCCAGTAAGAATCAGCCACACACGGCCGTGTGTAGTTTCGCGGCCACGGTGCGCGCGCGGTTTCAGTTTTTATCTCGAACACTTTCGTGATATGCATGTAACGGATACATTTTCCGTCTTGGAGCGTAACAAACGATAACGGTCGACGATTATTGCTTGAAGCCTCCTCCCCGCTCTGCATCTTAGCGGATCGACGCAGCGAACGTAATTGCAGACGGGCCCCGCACACGTGCCATAATTGAAACGGTTCCCTCGTTAAGGGATATGCGGCGCGTTACGTTGCACGGCGGCCGAAACGATTCGATTTAGTTAAAAAGCAATCGTTTCCGCGACCGGTTCACGAGCGTGTGCCGGTGGCCGGCCGAGACAGAATCGTTCGCCGTGCCGATAGACACCGGCTAACGGAAGCGCAATTTTCGCCGGGGTGAATCCTCTCTTGTACGTTCGAACGCGTGACATCGCACTACGCTCTATTAGTCACCCGGTCCCGCGACAGCTACAATAAACCGTCGCCGAGAATGGCCACGTGGACGCGACTCGTCATTCTCACTTTTTACACGGAGCATCTGACGGACGCCGCGGAGCCGGCTAATGAAAGCTGGCTCTCGTCGAGAGCCGCGCTGCACCGCGCTGCACCGCGCTGCACCGCGAAAAATAAAGCGCAACGAGACCGAAACTTCGTTGTTTCCGTACGCGGCGCCGCGGTTCAAGTTCGCGGGGATAAAAGGGGAGAGGGATCGGAGTTATTCAGAGCATTAAACGATCGAACCATCGTGCCGCTACCGGGCACGCCACGAACGACCGAGACGATAAAGGAGAGGAAAAAAAGAGGAGCCCCCGTGCTCGCCGCCGCGATGCAGGAGGAAGAATGCTATTAGGGAGAAACACGCACGCGAAAACTTCACGGGGATCCGACGCCGCTGAAACGGGGGTGTCGAAAATAAAGGATCCCGCCGGCGCGATTCTAATCGTCTGCCATTAATTCGCCCGGTCACGCGCCGTGATGGTAAAACTGTTATGTGCCGGAGAGAATCTCTGGACAGGCTCGAATATTTTCTATCGTCCGCTTAGGATCTCGCGGTGAAAGAATTAATGATATTATCCGGATACTTGCGTCACCAGATGCTCATGATTTCTTTCACGCGATCGCGTACGATTGATACCGATCGATAGATCTGTTCTGATCGAAGCGTTCGCGTGACGATCTTCGTGCAAAGTCGGAGATTAACGGAACAAGTGGTTGAAGCATGTGGATTTGCTCTTCATTTCAAAATACAGTTTCTGATCGCACGTATTTTTGGAACATGCAGATCGCATAAAAACTGGACGAACTCCAAATGTTATTTATACGTTTGGGTTTGACGTGAAAAGTGTGACAAAAAAAAAGAGGGTAGATATGTTATATAATATATTATATTTATATACTGTAATATATTATTTAATTATAATATGTTATATAATATATTATATATACTGTAATATATTATTTAATTATAATATGTTACATAATATATTATATACATATATACTGTAATATATTATTTAATTAAAATATATTATTAATGCATGAAATTCGGTCTGCTAATATTAGAGTTGAATTTATCCTTAACGCTAGAAAAATAGAATAACGAATTCCGGACGCTTTTCTTTTTAATTGTCAACTTTTTGGAACGAAAATCATGCAATCTCTCGATAAATACAGTTTATATAAGATAGCTAGGAATTAATTTACATCCACTTATACGTTGTCATTTTTCATGCGTGGTTGTTCTATAGTTAAAATAATATTCGTCCTGTTACACACATTGACATCAGGGACGATGTAATATATTTTTCAAACAGCTATAGCTAATACGTCTATCTTGTTTGCACGTATTTCCCTGTGTTTGGTTAATCTAGATCGCCGATATTGAGCGATTGTGATATCGCGGCTATTGTAATATTCCCTGTTTGATCGAACGCCGACATTGACCCAAAATCAGCGCACCGGCAAAAGTCAGCAACCGGCTAAGCAATTCGCCGTTTATGCATGTCTGAATCACGTAATGTTTCGCGATTCCGCCAGTTCACTGACGCTTCTCGAGCGGAAATGCCTCGCGGTGTAAAAGAAACCGAAATGAAATTTTATTTCGCGGCGAAAATGTTTCGCTGGTAAACGTTTTCTATATTTCTTTCTTCGCCAACTATCGGATTCTCTTCAGCAGAATTAAACACGCGAAAAATACGCGGATTTAGAGTTCACGTTTACGATGCAGCAACAATATCACGCGTTCTCCGCGAATCGTGTTCTTACTTTGTTCATGGGAAAACGTAATACGATATGTGATATTACTAATGTATGAATAACGAATATCCATACCTAATCCGTTGTAATATTTAAATTACCAACAGAAGTATTAACTAGTAATCTGCTATTTTAATTCAACGAAATGGTAATGTGGCTTAAACTGAAAGCGGCTTCCTATCCTTTTCGACCTTAAAAAGTGTCGGACTGTATTGAAGAGAACGAGCGTGAATAATACAGGAGCATCGTAGTCTCTCTCAATTTCCTAGAAATCAATGATTTAATTGAACAGCGCGTCAATTATTCGCATGTTCGTCGAACTTCGAATCGAAAATATTATTGTTAATGATAACTTGATCAAAATCAATAGAAACAATCCTCTCCCGTGTTAACTTCGCCAGAAATAATGAATAACTTATCAATGATTTTTTCAGAATATACTCGAAATCAAATATTCTATTTTCCTAAGCTCCTAGAATTAATTAACAATTAACCAAAAATGACATCGTCTTGGCTGTAGACCAAACAACGAAACGCCAATAAAACGACGAAAGGAATATTATTTTTAACGCGTAATCAAAATTTTTAATCGATCCGCTTATCTCCAACTTCTTGGCCGACACTCCAAGGAAAAATCGACGCTTCGAAGTCGATCAATTCTTCCGCAATTGTCTTTGACATCTCTGCTTAGTTTCCGTTGATCGTTCGCCGTAGTATATCTCCGCAAGACAAGGTCAAAAACTAAACGCTAAACTTCTCGCCGAGCACCGAAACGGAAGGAACGGCTTGAAGAAACTGCGATGGACGCGGTCTCGGCGAGGAACCGAGAGAAAGAGGACGTGGTGTCCGCTCGAGGCCGTCGCTGCTCGCGAAGAGGACTCGGTAAGGATGGTTGTTAGCAGAGGCAGCAAGCATGCATTAACAGTACTCTGGATGGGCCGGTGGTTCTCTGGTTCCTTGATTTCCGTTCCTCCCCTCCAGGAGACAGTACCCGTTGAAGGAACAATCTACCACAGAAGGGAGAATTCTTCCGTGGTACACGCGCCGCAGTTCATCGGGAATCTTCGTCAAAATTGCATCCCTCATCGTGCAGTCCTCGCAGACATTGCTAGTGTGGTTATTTCCTTTTTCCTACACGTGTTGCCGGTCACCGAACGAGCCAAGCGCAAGGATAGAAGAAGAGCGAACGGGAAGATCATGTTGACGGTTCTGATCGCCGGATTCTGCACGGTAGGTCCTTGCCTTCGAAAACGTTCTCGATCGATATATATTTTTTCGAAATTCCACCGTCGAATCTCACGATCGACTGCACTGGCCGCAGATTTATTTGCTGTTTATTTATTTATTTATTTTGCTATTTGCTGAAACGAAAAGATATTCGAGCTCGGTCAGCTTCGTGAATAGACAGTGGATTTGCGAAGTAAAATTGACCGGGTTTATTATGAGGGACCTAAGTTCGATAAAAATGTATTTCCTGTTTTAGTTATTTTTGTATTTTGTACACGATAGAAGGATATTCTAAAATTCTTGTAAGGTCTTCGCAGTTGGAGTCAGTCGTTTTTGCGAAAAACGCGTGCGCGCGCCTTTTTATTAATACTTCATTTGAAGCAGTGTCAAGTCAGTAATTACAACAGTAATTAGAACAATCGAGATGTGTTCAAACTAACTTGTTCCTTAAAATGAAGCTGACCGTTGACTCTGTCGACTAAAATTGTTTTTCAGAATAATCTCGTGCAAATTAGGAAACGACATATCGGTTGTAATTTGTGTTACATGGCTCCGTAAAAATATATGAATCGTTTATTTCGCTATAGATGCCTCGTTAGCCTAACACCGTTTGTCCAAACGCCGGTCAACCCCCTAATGCTCGCGCTTTCGATGTAATACCGAATGTAATACCGAAAGCTCTGCATTTCCAAACACTGTGAAAATAATTCTCGCTTTACAAATAAAAGCAACATTTTTTAGAGAATTCTAGATTTACCATTGATATTAATATTGAACGAATAGTGAGATCTCTCAAATTTTGATTATGTCGAGCTTTTTATCGAATATCAACGTTCTCAGAAAAATCGTGCAGGTGTAAAAAATTGACTCGACATTCTTACAAGGCATAGAAGTCGGGAAACAGCGCGCGCTGACGCTTGCGGGTACATTAACATTACAGAGTAGTGTGGATAGAGGCGATCCGATGTCATCCTGCCGAATGGGGGAAAAAAAGAGCAGAATTTATGGCGCCGTAAAGGCACAGTTGCGGTTCTCTCGTACAAAACGGAAAAAGATGTACGTGTATGTATATACATATAGATGTGTATATATATATGTGTGTACTGTATATGTATAGTTATCTAGAAGGCAATCGGGAGAGAGGATTCGTGCTGGGAGGACCGTTTTACGTAACAGATTTCGGTTGTTTCTCTCTTCCCGTTAAATTCCCGGGCATCAATCGAATCGGCCCGCGCGTGTGCCACTTTACGTACACCTTCACGTGTGCACACATCATTAAAATGTGTCGACGTTTGCGCGTTCCGACCTGCGTGCGGAAAGATCCACGAGAGATCTCGTGCAATCCTGTGTTTTTTTATCCTGAATGCCCGTCGAACATTTTAACGACACTATTTGCTACCCTTATCGCTACGCTCGACGCAAATCGCGTTTTCCGAAGTAATCGTGCTGCCTGCGTTGCCTGTTTTATGTCACCTCGGAAACCTATTTATTGCATAATCGATCTATCCTCAACACGATTTTTATTTTCGTGAAAATGCTAACGAGCGGTCTGCGAAATAACTGACCAATTAGCATTTCCGTGTCTAATTTTAACATAATTTATTCGTCACTATACCGTTTCGAAACTGTTGTCGCATTCGTCGAGCTACTTTTATCAATTATAAAAATAATTGCTATATCGATCGGATGTCAACGAAACTGTTGTTTATTGTCCCATGAAAAATAGCTCGATGACAGTGAGTCGAGACACACGAATGTATTAACGTGTCTCTAATAATCTTTTAAAAGGCGATACGAACTACTTTGATGCTATTCTACTAACACAATATCACGTAGCAGTTCGTTTAAATAATACACGATACGTAATAAATGTTAAATGGTGTTCCGATACGTGTTCGCTTTTACTTGATCGAATTTTCCATTATTATCGCGGGCATAATTATTTCCATTACTATTCGCTGCTCCAATTGAATTTCCTCGTTCCGCCGGCCTCCTCGTGCACCGAACCAATCAGTGTTGCCTAGTCGATCGAAAAAGCGTTTCGATAAAGATTCGTTCGGAACCATGGCAGTCCTATGGTTCGGCATTTTATTCGAAATGAACGGCCGAATCATGATTAATGCCGCGGACTGTATTATTTAATTATCGCGAGCACGAAAGCATCCTAATTCCTTTTTCTTTCGTGGAAACGAAACTGACTTCGAACTTATTCATTGCAGCGCACGCAGCTTTTATGAACATTTTTATAAGCTAAATAGTTTAACTAAAATTGTTTGACAAATTCTTATTGTTTCTTGTTGTTTATCGCGACCACGAAAGCATCCTAATTCCTTTTTCTTTCGTGGAAACGAAACTGACTTCGAACTTATTCATTGCAGCGCACGCAATTTTTATGAACATTTTCATAAACTAAATAATTTCAGTAATATTGTTTCACAAATTCTTGTTGTTCCTTTACAAATCTCTCGTTGTTTTACAAATTCATCCTTTGGCAACAACAGCACAAAATATCCTTCCATAGTTTTCGACTCCAATTAGACCGCGTTTCGTCTAAAAAATGCAATTAGAAAAGCAATATTTTAAACAAGTGCAACCGCTAACAACGCGAAGATATAAAAAAAATTGTACAGCTTCTAAAATATCGACTGGATGAATTTTTGTTCGAAATACGTACATACATGGAACAAACGGCACGATTCTAAATAATCGAAAAATTGTGCAACATTTTGCAAAGATCGAGAGGGGGGGGCAATTTCGAAAGAAGCACACACCGAACCAGAAGATAATTACGGTTCGATCAAAAAGTTCACACCGTAAAATGGGGAACAGGTGGATTTCTTTCGGAGAGGCGCAAGCGCGCGTTATAAACCTCGGCGCCTAACGTATCATTATAGCGATCCCGTCTTCGTTTCATCCGGAACTGTATTTTCAATTTGCCGCATGATTAAACAGGAAATAATAAATCTAATATTTCGAGGAGTTATAATGTAGCACGGATCATTGCTTGATTGATCGATCGATTATACCGATGGTCTTATTTCGTGAACTGTGCCGAGTGCGCCGTCGAAGTCTTTGTAAAATGCATCGCGAATCGGTTTATCGGGTCTATCATCTTCTGTACGAGTCGATCATGGTGCTCGTCAAGTATCCCGGAGCAAAAGAACACTTTGATATTGACCTACCTTGAGGAAATAACCATGACCTATACCACTATTACCCGTCTGGCTGACCGTACGATGGGCAACCTGTATGGTACGCATAACGAATATCTTAGGTGGGCATCAGAGCGTTTCTTTACACCGTTATTCGAATTGAAGTCTGCTTTCCACGCGTGTTGGTCACCTTGTTTCATATCGAAGGCAACGCCACAGTAGGCACCGTGATAAACGCGGAACAGGCGTATGCCCTCGCCGGTGTATCCCAGGAAGAGAATTCGAATGACTTGCGTTTAATTAAGACCATTGCGGTTCTGATGTCGCGGGGTTAATCAAGATATTACCTTGATATTACGCGATGAATTTCAGATCAAATCGTCTCGGCTCGTGGCAGATAGGTTCTTTCGTTTGCTCGGTAACAATAGAGCGCGTTCTACACAGTTTAACTCTCGCGCAGCTCTATTTATCGACGATGTTTATAAAAATTCTGAGCTTCGTTCGGCGAGCATGTTATTAGCCTTTTTGTTGTTCCAGCAATTTGTTTTATTCGATTGCCGATAATCGAGCAATTGAACGAGTTAAATAGTCTGGATCAAAATTGACCCTGCAATCGCCTTGCGGATTCTTTTGAAAGAAATTTTTATGCATTGATTTGTCGCGCTTGGATTTAATTATAGTATATAAGATATGTATTATTATTATATTATTTTATAATATATTTAATATTATATAATATAACATAACATAATATAATATAATACAATACAATACATTATAATATAATATAATATATTATAATATACTATAATAAAATATTACTATATATAACATAATATATAATATAATATAATAATATAATACAATACAATACAATACATTATAATATAATGTAATATATTATATACTATAATAAAATATTACTATACATAATATATATCCAAAATACTGAAAATTGTACGAACTCTGCTTTTTTCAAGAATATCTCTTCCAGAAACATCTTTCCGATAACTTTGAATCGAAAACAAAGCAGATTTGCCACTGGTATTAACGTGGGAATAAATAAAATATCACATCTCTAAACAAAAATGATGGCACCTTGACGTTCGTGTTCTGTTCCTTAGCTTCTGATTTCGTAAAGAATTCCGGAAAAAGCCAAGATTTATTTAAGATTTCGATCTAGAAAACAGTGGACACACCTGCCGAAGATTTGCTCGAAGTACGACGAAGCCGGTCGTTGAATTATAACCAGGGATAACCGTGCACTTGTTATTGAAAGCAAGACAAACATTGACGGGAACCTAATTTCTTTAGCAGCAGAAAGAAGAAGGTAAACTCGGCCTTACGTTGATTGTCAGTTGTATTTACCTTAAACGCTAAAATATGCGGTCTGCCCGTGATTGCGGTCGGCTCGACTGAGTAACAATTTACTCGAGTATGTGATTAAGCCGTGGACAATGAGCGCCGGGACATTTCAAGGAAATAACTGCCATAATCCGGCAGCGCGGCTCGAAAAAAAAGAAAACTATAATATGAGCTGTTTTGACCCCGAACGGGCAGTTCAGGGTTTAAGGAACCGTTTCCTTTAAATTGGGACGTCACTTATTTTTCGGTGTAAAAAGTAAAGTCCGGACATGATGTGGGGCACCCGTGCACGGTTACGGCCGAAACCGAATGGCCTCAAATTGCCGTGAAAATAGGAAGGAACATTTTCATGATGATTACGAGAGACGTGTACGCGTTTTAAAACAATGATGGTTTTTCGAGACACGAAAGCGAATTAATGATGCGTGCCACATTCTGCAATAACGATAAGTAACGGTTTCGGTTCGAAGTGCATTACAGAGACGTAGGGTATAATTATTGCACAGATACAAATGTAATTCGTGCTGAATACGGAATAATTCTATTCCAACGTTATCGTTGTTTTTGCGTGTCGGATGCCTGCAACATGTTGCGAAACTCTCATTAAACGCGCGTCGTTGTTACGTTTCCATACAAAAATGCGCCATTGTATCATTAAAATAGCGATGATGTAACGCATAATTTCTTGGCGAATGACTTTTTGACTTCATCAACATCGATCCGATATCGGTTTATTTAATCGCTGGCACGGTGTCGTTTGCGTAATTATTATTTATTTGCAACAATAACAGAATTCTATTTCTGTATTATAATCCTTGAATCGTGAACCTAATTCTTAGCACCGGTGGTTCCACCATCGTTGGAATTAGTGTCTGTCGATTTTTCAAAGTACGTTTGTTTGGACGTACAATTTGAAAAGCAGAGTTTTCGAATTCGTTGTTCAAGTAGAAACGTTGATGTATCAACTTGAAATCGCCTTGAACAGGTGCACACCGCAATAAAACTAATCTAGATCGATCAACTATTTAAACAACTTGAAATCGCGTGAAGCACAAACACACATTGTAGTCAAGCTAATCTTCATGAATCGAGCTAATATTTGACGCGTCAATCTACAAACGCATTCTATTGTGCTGCGCCGTTTTATGGGACAGCACGCAGACAAATAGATCCGCGCGTCCTTGCAGAAAAATACCAAATAAAGTAAAATGTATGATTCATATTTTACACTGATTTCGATCGTTTTGTTTCCTATATAGTGTGCATCTTATCATGTTTTTTAACTAAACCTGAAAAATAATATGGATTTTAGTTCATTTATTTATTTTTATTCTGCATGAATCAATTTTATTTGTACTCTCATAGTTTCATTTACACTAAACAAAATAAAAAATATTTGTAATCCAGCACAAACATTTCGTTCGGAATTCTTTTTGTTTCGAGCTTTGAAAATCGATATTCGTATAAATCAATGTTTATCTTTTTGTTATATTTACATTATAATATATATAATATAATATAATAATAATATTTTATAATATAATATTATATAATATTATTATTATATAATAATATGTGTAATATTANTGAAACGATTCTGCAGCGCGTTCTCCTCGGCAATTATTCCCGCCGATAATTCCCACCTGCGGGTTTCCAGGGGCGGATGGTCGCACGTCAGGCCTCTGGCTGCTCGCCAGCAACAGCAGCAGTAACAGTAGCAGCACTCGCGGACTCGAAATCCTTGAAACGATTTCTTCGTAATGGAGGGGCGCGTCGTCGCGCGATCGACCGTGGCTGATTGAACGCCGATCGGCCAGCGTGGCCGCGCGCGATTCTTCGAGCGTACGTTCCTATTAAATTGTCCAGCTGATGGACACGTTGAAATTTAATTCATAATTATACCAAATAATTATTTGTTTCAAAATTAGATTTTTTAATCGATATTCTTTTCATTTCATTTCGGAGGGAAAACATTTTTTGAGTTAGTAAATTTAATATGTTTTTTGTTAGTAAAGCAGTTACGTCTTTCAAAGAGAAAAGACTTTCTTCGTTAGGGTAGGTGATTTTTCATTTTCTCGCGTCGCAATGAGTTAATTTTTCGATTCCTTATTAATCAGCACTGTCTAATGCATACGTTGTGTTTATTTAAAAGAAGTCTACTTTCACATAAAAATATAAAATATATATAATTTATACTATACTATATTAATATATATATTATATAATAATATATTATATATTATTATATTATAATATAGTAATATATATATATATATATATATATATAATAATAATATAATAATAATATTATATAATATTATATTATAAAAAAAACTGCGTCCATCGCAATTTCTTTTTAGTGCAAATGCAATCGCGTATCGAGCGTGTCACCCAATTAGTTGAAGGTCACGCGCGCGAGAACCATTGTTCCGGAAAGCGTCGCCGAAAACGGGGGTAAAACAAATCGCGGATGAGAACGGAGAGAATTGTGCGCGGAAACGTCGGGAATGTTGCCCGGGCAAAACCGTGCAGATGAATGACGGTGGTATTGTTTCAGGTTGCCGCCACCGTTGCCCAGGATTACGAGGTCTCTGACATTCAGTGCAGCGGTGCAGGATCAGCCGCTGATTTGCTGACAGCAAAGATCAAAAGGCCAGTCGGCTTCAGAGGGGCGCCGCTTTTTGCCGACGACAGATCCGCCAATCCGCTCACCGACATTCACTGCCAGATCAGGCCAGATCCCAATGATCCTCAGGAAGATAACTATTTCCTGAAGGTTACTGACTTCTCGAGATGCGGTGTCCTGAAGAGAAACGTGAGTCGTCCTTCGGGGGCATACGTATCGCGCGCCGATTAAATTCCACGACCCCGTGCGAACTGTTTACGGACACCGTAAGATTTGCATGGGTACATTTTCGGAAGATGCTCGCTTATCCTCGATGTTCCCGCTTTAAACAATTTTCCACGATCACGTTAATTTTTTCACGCAATTTTTCAGTCTCGTCTCCGTTTCTTTTACGAAACGTTTTCTATTAATTAACTGTTCTGGTAATTGAATTCGACTGGTTCGGTAATTCTAGCATTAATAAGGTGGAACGATAAATAATTAACGTCGCGAATTCCTTCTCTGAGAACGAAAACCTAAGGCGAGACGAGGCAAATTTTAACGGAGATGATTCGCTAATAAAACGACGAGAATCAACGCCGATAAAACGATCCGTAGATTATTTCCTCGGTATCCTCGTGCAAACCGTCGAATCGACAGGAGGCGAGGGTCGATCGAAGTGTTATCCGTGAAATTGTGACACAAAGATGGAAGTGGTTCTCCTGTTTCCGGGGTTATCGGCTGCTGTTCGTCCATTTTCGATTGAGCAAGTTACGGAAACGACGCTGCCTTGGATCATTCGTAATTTCGATCGATAAAGCGCAGGCAACGACATTTAGCAGAACGGTCAAGATGCATCCAGGTACTCCAGAAAGCTGGGAACTCACTCAGAGTAACAGGGATTTCTCATTTGACCGTGACCCAAGAAGCGAGCACTCGAAAGACATACAGACATTCAGCGCCGCTTCAAGAAACGAGAGAACCTCCTCCATCGATGTATCGTGTCTCAAGGCAATTATTCTAAAGTGGATCACCTTGAACGTTCAAAAAGTAACGCGAAGAGGGTCAGGACAACTCGGAATACCGTAAATATAACGTTTAAATATAGGAGAGAGAGAGAGAGAGAGAGAGAAAAGCTGGTTCGCGATCAGCTGATCGAGAAAAAAAAATGATTGAAAATTCCTCTTGATCATTTCGACGGAATCATCAAAACATCGTGTAATACCACGGCGTCAAACGTTATGCAACACCTGTTGCAAAATACGTAAAATGTCCAAGATACGTAAATGTCAATGCAGCAATGACCCAATTCGAAATGATGCAATTCCATGAATGATAATTTCAATGAATATGCAATTCGCTCGCGAGTTCCAGTTCTGTCTGCTTCGATCGTCGCGTTTCTGTTACAAAGAACAACCAGTTTCACTTATTTACGTTCCTTTTTTGTTACGGCAAAAAGCTAAATGCTAGACGTACAGTCGACGCATGAAACAAATATTTTCATAGTTGCGTTTCGTTATGTATTCATGAGAAGATAATGATTCGCTGTCTTGCATCTTGTATCTTCGAATAGGACAGAATTTATTTATTATTAACCGATCGTTCTTCGCACTGTCAAGCAGGGATTCATTCACCTGAGAATATGGTTCCCCGCATTTTCCGGCGTTGTAATGCTGGCCGATCAAGAACTGATCCTCATGTGTCGACCGCCGGAACCGACATTACTACGGCATAAGGCCGCCGGTTTTGCGGGCACGTTGTAAGTATCCAGTTCACGAAGTTCCACTTACTCGAGCCACAAATCCGATGCACACGATGAAAATTTAAAAAAAATCATTGCAAATCCGATACACGTGAGAATTAAACAAGGGTTGCGTTCTCTAGTACGCGATAATCTAGTACGCGCACGTGTGCATTAAAGAAAAATTCCGTTATTCAGTTCACGAGGATCCAACGTCGCGAAGTTTTAACCCTTTGCGGCCGGAGCTATTCCAATTCGAAATCCGAAACATGTTTTCCGATCGGGGGTATTTCCGTTTTATACGATTTATTGGGATTCGTGGATACGAAATTGTGCCTGTTGGCGAGTACAATAATTGCAATTTTAACAGTTTTTTTAAAATATAAACGAATCTGATAATGTTACAATTATTTTCAAAAATAGTGTAACAATTTTTAGTGGCTGCCGAGTGTACACACAAAACCAGTGTACACGAATATGTATCTTGAAAAATCTAGAAGATCGAATGATCGTGAAATTAAAATGTCTTTCAGCCCACACGGAGCAAGGGTGTCGGGGGTGGTCGAAGAAACCCCGGGCCGTTTGGAGTACGAGGTGGCTCTTTATCGGGAAGCTACGGGAAATGTGTCGGACGCATCCGGATCTCAAACCGTCGATCAAGCAGTCCCTATCGGCACAAAGCTCCAGCTGAGAGCACGAATCAGCTCGGACAGCGCATGGGGATACATTAAACTCTTGGAGGTGACTGTCAGTCCTGATCCTGATCAGCCTCACGCACCGGGCAGTGTCGTCCTCGTGAAAGACGGCTGCAGAAATCGAGACTTTGCCTCGATAATTCCTCATCAGCCGGCTCGATATCGGGAGAGGAAAAATGAGGTTTTCCTCGACTTCGAGGCGTTCCTCCTGAGCTCGATGAGAGAACGGTCCACTTTGTGGATACACTCGCAGATTAAAGCCTGCATGGAGCCGCAGGACTGTCAGCCGGTAAGGACGCGGATTCGAGGATTGCCGGAGGATCATTTATTTCACGCAATTCTCAATCGTCTGCAGTCTGTGCACGCAGTTCTCAACATGTTCAGAAATGTTCTCCTTTCAATTGAGCGTAAATGCGTCCACAGTTAAAGGGCGAAAAGCAGAACCGGAAGTTGTAGAATCTTTTAATAGAATCTATTTGAAACAGAGATCACAGAACTTGAAAAAAAAACGATCAAAAGCTTTAATTTCGATAGAATTTATAAGATATAAAAATAAAACATTTTGTATAATAAGAATAGATCTTTTCTTATATTATATATAATATTAAATATATTATATATATATATATTAATATTATATATATTATATTATATATAATATTAAATATATTATATATATATAATATTAAAAACGTTCGCAATAATAATTAGGAATTTTGGAGGAATAACGTTTTGATTATGTGTTCTCATTTAAGATGGACAAATTTTTTATGTATAAATTTTATATATAAATAACATAGAGGAATTTTCGTTCGTATCATTCATTTAAGAGATAGGGTATACTGATAAAAATTCAACAATATTTCTTCAATATAAGTACACGTATTTATTTCCAACTGTTTTTGAGATTGACGACGATCTAAATCGAGTCCTCAATGTTACATATGTTTATAGGATTTCTGTCTGGACCTGTTCGAGCCATCGGGTCACGGTAAAAGGAGAAAACGATTTTTAACAGAGGAATCACCTATATTTCTTTCCAAAGACAGGCGTTCGATAAAAGAGTACAATGATTCGACGCCGTCCACAAAATTCAAAGAAAATATCGAGTACACAGTAACGATGCCCGACGGTGAGTTTTAAAACATATCGAATATCGAAGATATCTTTTGAAGCGTACAAATTCGAAGCGGTCATTATTTATACATTGCATCGGTGTGATAGAAAGCATTATCGAAGATGGTCGTATATAATTAATAAAAAACGACATTCGAACAAAAGTGCGTAAAAATTCCGTACATTTGTAACAGCAAGATAGCTTACATATTTAAAACAGTAGAATACCTCATTGTTTAAAATGGTAATTAAATTGTTTAAAATGGTAATATACTTCAGTGAAGTATATGAAACTCATTCTTGAAACGATTATAGTAAAATATTCATTCGCTGCCAATGATAGCTTTTAATGAAGAATAAGTTGATGCGACCTTAAAGATAAACATAGTTACATTATAATAGCATCATAGAAATTAAAGTATTCCTAGGTGATGAGCACAGATAAATGAAACGAATTTTTCTACTCTTTCAGATCTATATCAAAAAGTTACCGCCGGATTTGAAAACAGTTGCGGCAGCTTTCTTTACGTTGCTACCGGGTTGGGTGCACTTCTCGCCTTATCGGCCTTTATCATGTGTTATCTTGCTTCTCGTTTACACAATTTATCGTCGACTATACCGCAAAATAAATCAATTGACGAACTTATCCGAGACCGAGCGAGAAAATATTCAGAGACAACTCAAGGCTACACCGGTCGATCAACAGTACAATAGCGAAGTATTGCACATTGTGTGCATCATACTTGGCCGAACACATCACAGAAACCTTGTATGCAAACTTGTTATAAAAAGAAATATAAACGTTGTTTTTTTTCTTTATGGAAACATCATTACAAGAAATTATTAAAAACACTATATATATATATATATATATATATATAACGTATAATTTATGTAAATAATACGTATACAAGGTGAATCACTTATCCCAAATAACTTCTTCACACGTAAGCATTAGTTTCGCACGACTCGAATGCTCCAATATGTTCAAAGTGTAAATGATTAAGACACGTCGTTATCTGCAACGTCGTGTAGACGAAAATGCTTCATAACCGCTGTAATTTATATTGTAGACACATATGTACGTGTCTACAAATTCATGTGATAACAGAATGATAACGCTTTAAATCATTAATCTCGTTCTTGCAACGACATCATTTTGCATTCAGAATACATATTGTACTACATTTTTGAATGGATCAATACGTTCCAAGAAACGACACACTTTAAAACATACTCGAAACACTTGTAACAGTTTTTAGAATGAAACAATACGAAGAAGTTGTCTGAGTTATGTACACGAGTATTATTTGAAGTTGGAAAATGTAATAAAACTGAATAGATTTATAATAGAAATATTTTTACTGATATATATATATATATACTTACAATGTTGAAGTTGCAAGGACAAATTTCTCTTAATTTCCAAACGCTAACGGAAGTTGGACTTCTTCGCTGTTGCTATCTCAATCAATGATTCACCTTGCACGTTCTTTACAGACAGGTGCACAGAAAATTTATTACCTTTCAATTTTCGCACTCGATATTTACGACATTTTCACTCACTTTAAAGTAATTTTTACCGGTAAATTTATCGAGACGTACCACCAGTGCTATTACGTGACCTGAAAGAATCTTCATTTATAATGATAATTTGAAACTCAATGTAGAATAATAATTTAGATTCGTGTTTCATAAAGTGACTTTATAATTCCGACACAATGTATATACATACACATGGTAAAATATTTATATTTATAAATAGAAACTGAATGTCCAAGGAGGCCTATACCAAGATTTCCTTTGGCAATCAATTAATTAAAGTATAAAAAAAATAAATAGAACAACATAACATCTAATTGTGTACATGACCGCGCGATCCAATTATTTATTATAGAATAAGCTACGATTTTGTACTCGTGCATGCGATCATAACATTCGAAACATCGAATTCATTGTAAAAATGTTAATCGGTCATTTGATTTTGTTTTTCAAAGCTTCATAACATATTGTACTGTATTATATTTTTATAAGTATATAGTGCAACGTTTAATAACAGGGTGCAAACGCACAACAATCTATATGTCCGAATATAAACGACAGTTAATAATAGTTGATAGTATTGAAACGTATCGAGAATTTCTACAATAAACTAAGCAGTCGAATGCACGCATACGAAAGACGCACGTATTTACTAAAATGCGTGGAACTGTTTTACAATCTAACTTTATGTGTACGCTCAAAACCACTCTTTGGTTAATGTTTCTAATTTAGAATAAAAATAATTGTAACGTTCTGTTACAA